ACAGTTGAGATTAACTATCGCAGATGTCTCTTGGTCATCAGATGATTGCTGACATGCATTGCATCTGTATCCATGACTAAAGGTGGGAAGGGATGGCTCCAGCTGAGCATGTCCCTTCTATCAGTGACAATGGCTTACTAAGAAACCACTCGTCTCATTCATGAACAGTCCCATGGAAAATGAGACTTAGTGACCAGGAGAGAATCGAGAAATGGTAGTGTCTGGGGTGGAAGAAGCAAAGGAGGAGGATGGGGAGAGGTGTTGGCAACCAGTGGAGAAGCCCTGTGGCTAAGTGTGTGTTTTAAATTCCTTGTTCTGTGTGAGGAATGGAGGAGAGACTAGGAGACAGACAGACACCCTGGTAGACAGACAGACAGGGAGAGGGACCTGGCTGGGTAATAAAGATAGTGAACTTCAGGGTGGCCAACTTCTTCACCCTCTTGAGCTGACAGAGGCCTGGCAGCTTGAACACAAGCCTTGTAAGCTTTTGTCTCTCAGCAGCAGGCCCACTGCTGACGGACTGGCCCACCCTGCTCAAGGGCTAGGTCAGGACAAGTCACACAACAGTTGTAAGTCAATCAGCCATGTTGCCTTCCCTCAAGCTGAGCAAACTTAAATTAGGGGAGGGAGACATTAAAACCCCAGGCTACAGGGGAGCTGGATGTTTTTGACTTTCGAGTTCCCTGCTCTGCTCTTGCTGAGGGTCTTTTTCTCTGTATGTGTCTGTGGCATGCCTGTATTTCTCCCCCAGAATCTTCAGCCGCTGATTCCCTCTGCTCCTGTTTACTGTACCCAAGATTTCTCTGCTGATACCTGTTGTGCTCCAGATTTTTTGTGCCTCTTAAATCTTTAACTGGCTGAGAAAATAAACCTGATTATGACTTAGTCTGTAACATTTTCTTACTGGGCATGAAAGGGATGCTGAGATAAATTGTGGATGCATCCGCCTTGAACCCTGAAATGAAAACTTTGCGCTGGGTTGGAGGAAAGTTTCCTTCAACCTGTCTGCCTTGATGCTGGGCATGCTCTGGCCATTCAGGGGAGGCAGCACACAGTCCGTGATGGTGATCTCCAGGTGTCGTTCTCCAAGGAACCAGATGGATAAATTCTGAGGATCTCTGGTCCTGTTAGAACGAAAGGTTCCACAGGGCTCTGGTCTGGCCTGAACTGCCCAAGTGTTACAGCTTTCTGAAGGGAAGAGCGTGCAGAGCAGGTAGCCGGGGTCTCTACCTCTACCTTAGCAGCGCCAATACCAGCAGCAGCAGGGGTGGCCAGCTTCAATGAGACCAGTGTACTTGGGAGAGAAAACTCTTCCCCAGAGTGTTACAGCTCAACAAAACAGCAACTCTTAGATGCTTCTCAGTGAAATAACTCCTGCACTTTATTCCACGTGGGTAGGGACTTTATAAACACTTTGTGAGTGTGATGGGATCCAGGGGTAGATGCTTCCCGTTGGCTCAGCCTGAGGTGTTAGGGATGCTCTCTTTGCATGGGGAAGGACTTCAGGTGTTGTCCCTACATGGACTGGCCGGGGGCTGGCTCCACGCCTGCCATTCTCAATTCGGCGATTCCCCGGGGTCTGAGCCTGTTCAACCTTACCAGTTCTTTGTAGTAATAATATTTCTAATAAATCTAGGTGCAGGGTCACTGCCCACCTCAGTGGTTTATGTTCCCGGATGAAAGGCACACACACAGCCTTGTATTTTAGTATGCCTCAAGCAGCACAGTAGCTGGGCCTAACCTCCCTGCTGTTAGAATCCACCTCCCACCCAGAACTCCGAGTCACTACTTACTAGTTTCTAAGTTCTGTCTTGGCTGCTCCTGACCCAGTTAAGGAGCCCTCTGGGCTGAGTTTCTCTTGCCCCTTTACATGGTGGCTCTGCTTCTCCCTCCTGCACGTTATTACCTTTTCATGGTGGCCTCCTTGTCTCCCTCCTTCCTCCTCGTGTTCCCCAGCCTGGGAACCCTAAACTCTACATCTGTCTCTCTTCCCCGGCTATTGGCTGCTGGCATCTTTATTTACCAATCAGAATTGACTGGGGGCAGGTTCCCAGGAGCTATGTGCAGCAGGCCCTCCCATGCAAACAATTTTGAGGGACCCAATTAGCATCAGAATGCAAGCAGCTAAGGTTCTTCTGTCTGGTGGCATGGTCCACTTGCCCCACATTCAAGAGTTCAAAATTCACAGAAAGAGCCAGGAGCAGAGTGGATGGGGACCACAGACTGGGAGGGGAGCACCCAGGAGCAGACTGGGAGCACCCAGACCTCAGGGTTGATAGAGGCAGTATTCATGCTGTGATAACTTTTGTCGCAGTCTAAAAGATTCCCACTCAGCTCTGGAGAGGATGTCAGACTCTGCAAGTACTGTGGAAGGCTGAAGGTACCCAGGAAAGGCACATTTGCCAGTCAGGGGTTCAGTCCTCTGAGACTGCCCCAAAACCCAAGGTCTTTATCTGCAGCCCCCAGTAACTTTTATGTCCCCTTATCCAGAGCAGGACATGTTCAGGCCATTCCTTTCTTGGGTCAGAGGCTCAGGTGTCCAATAAGTCCTGGAGATATGACCTAGTACTCTGAGCTGCCACAGGAACTGGTGGACTGTGTAGGACCTGGGACTTGCAAGAGAGTCCCCCATGTGGGGAGGGGTCAAGAAAATCCCAGCACACCAACTGCCCTATGCATGCCCAATGCTTTCCTGGAGCCCTGGACTCGCAGGACCCCTTATGCCATCACCATCTTGGCAAAAGTGTCAATATTCTGAAGAGAAAGCTGCCCTCTTCCCTTTGACTACCAGACCACTGAGGCAGTGGACCTCAAAGTGGGGATTTCCCGGGACTTTTATGCTAGGAGAAGCAAAAGCCTGAAGCCTGGTGCCAGCCCCAAAAGGGGTGTGTCTCCAGAAAAGAGAATTCATGGTTCTGACAGTTGACCATCTTGCCTGAGAAACTGGAGCTGAGCCAGTGATAGGCAGAACTGAAAGCATAGGAATTCTGGGGTAGATGAAGAGTCCATCACCTGAGCTTAGATGAAGCCTCTTGCCAGCCAGAATATAAGAAACCAGCATAATTAAGAAGTAAGTCTGAGTCCTTTCTCACTTCCAAGTCATAAACCTTCAATTCGTTAGGAGTTTCTTCAGAAACTCCACTCAGCTACAGCCACATCCTAAACCCTGAGGGCATTGTTTTCCTTTATTAGATTACAGTATTGTTTGAGGATTGCCAGAGCCCTCTATAATCTCAGATAGCAACAGTGATTTCCCGGAGACAAACACCACCAGCCTGTTAACCCACTGGCTGGGGACCTAGCTGTTGAAGGTACTTCCTTCAGTAAGGATGATGCTTGAGGAAAGATGTGGGAGACAGACACATGGGGGTGGGGAGGAACGGGATGGGACAGGGTCAGAGGACAAGTGAGAAGGAGAGAAACAAGACAGAAAGGGGGAAACTAGAGGAGAAAGAGAAGAGTAAAATAGAGGCTCAGGGAGCTGGAGAGATGGCTCTGTGATTAAGAGCACTGGCTGTTCTTCTAGAGGACCTGGGTTTGATTCATAGCACCCACATGGAGATGCACAACTGTCTGTAACAACAGCCTTTGGCCTCTCTTGGTCTCTTTGGTCATGCCCATGGTGTATACACATATATGCAGGCAAAGCACCCACATACTTAAAAATAAAATTAAAAAGAGGGCCAGAACCAAGACAGGGCAAGTTAAGAGCTTGAGGCCAGAGGGAGCAGGAACCAGCAGGAGAGGGAGAGGCCCTGAGGGAAGGAGAGGGGACCAGCAAGGGAGAGCTGGAGATAACCACAAGACAGGGAGGGGCAAGGGGACAAGTACAGACAGCAGGAGATCACAGAGAGGTTGTGGGGAACTCAGCCAGGCTTGTGCTGGGACCTGGGACACCTGAGTCACCAAGTCCTCCCAGGCTGTATCCCTTACAAGCAGGTGGCCAGTTTGGACTGTTTGTTTTTAAACATCATTTATTGCTTTCTAACAACAAAATAAAAGAAATCAAAACAGCACAGGCAGGTGCAGCTCAGTGGCAGTGGGGGACTTGCCTCATGTGTAAGAGGCCCTGGGTTCCTCCTCGTTTAGGTTGGAACAGTGGGATGAAATGTTTCAGGATTGGACTCTCCGCAAAGCACGAAACACACACAAACCTGGACAGTGTTCACCTCTGTTATTCCTGGTAGGAGACATTGTTTAGTGAAGATTGTCTTAGTCTACAGTTGGAGCCGGCTGTTTTCTGATCTTTGTTTTGGGTGAATCTCCAGGTATCAACCACTATAAAGGGCACATTCATCCCGTTTTAGTGGCCCAGCCACCTCACCAAGCAGATGGGAAAAGTCCACAGCCTTGGCCTGGAGAGGGGGCCCAGGCTGCAGGGCTGAAGGCGGCAGACTTTGGTCCCAGACATTCTGGAAGCCACAGACCCTCTCACAGCCTAGATCATGCTGTCACTATGCTCCGAGGGAAGAAGAGAGGTGACTCAGGCCTGCACCTCAATGTTTTGCACCTCCTTGGTGGAGAGGAATTTTATGGACTCTGTAAAGAGCCATCCTACCACTCAGCAACCGGCAGGGTGTAGCTGGCAGCTCACCCTAAGCCGAGACAAGGTCTGGCATAGGCTGGCCTGGACAATTTGCTTCAAGAGCAACTCGCTTTGTGTCTTGCAATTGCTGAGGAAGGGGGACGGATCTGGCCTCAAGAGGAGCCGACCCTCATTCTTACAGACACAGGCCTCTCTAGTCAGCCCTTCGTTGGTGGGGACACCCAACCCCGCCCTCCTCAATAGAGTACAGCCATGTCCTCAGGCCAAGTCTCCTGCCTCCTTCCTACTGCTGCCTCAGAGAAAAGGCTAGCAAAAGCAAGGGTGGGCCTGTCCAGGGAGCCGAGCTGCAGCCATGGCCAGGCCCATGTGCAGCCTCACACCAACAGTATCCTAGCATTTTTATTCCAACTGGGTTCTTGCTATACATGGAGGTAAAGAAAAAAACAGGAACGGGGAATAAATAATTTATTGAAACTGGAATAAATATGTATGCATGGTTACAAATAACTGTAAAAAATATCATTCCGCACGCATGTGCGTTCACGAACACACACACACACACACACACACACACACACACACACACACACACACACACAGTCCTCCATTGAGGGGCGGGGCCTCTCTGTGGGCGGGTCCAGGACTTCCTTGTTCTCCCGCGTAGGCCTCATGCGCCCCCGGGAGGTAGAAGACATATTTACAGCAAAGAGAATTGCAGAAGGCTGCTCATCTTCAGATCCCAGCTTAGGAGCTTCCTGTGTCCCCACTGTGTGCCAAGTGGCCGCGCAGCTGCACCCCTTGCACGATCCTTTGCACCCAGGGGCGGTGAGCTAGGAGGCTGGTGTACACACCTGGCCGGTTGCGCTCCGCGCAGCCCTCTCCCCAGCTGATTATGCCCGTCAGTAGCCAATGGTCATCCACCTGGCACATCAGGGGACCCCCAGAGTCGCCCTGCAGAGAAGAAGGGAAGTCAGGAAAGCCACACCTGCAGGCAATGTGTCCTTGGAGGTGGCAGTACTGAGCCAACCCTAGAAGAACAGGCTTTCCAAACAGAACCCCTTCTGGTGGCATGCCTTCCCCACAACCACAAGGAGCAGAAGATGAGACCACTTCTGCTTTGCAGGATTGGCAACATGGGCACTGCAGCCAGGTTGTATGCTGGCCACCTCAGGGGTAACTGCTCCACCATCCTACCATCCTCATTCAGTCATGGGACTGAGGTTAGGGTTCTGAACCACTGGGCCCTCCTCAGGGCCCTCCTCAGAATAATAGCTGCCTACCTGTGTTTTCCTGCTGAAATGGTGCGTACACAACCCATGTATAAACAAGAAAAAGCCCAGACAGGCTAAAGGAGACTGAGCAAGAGGAGAGAGAGGATGTCCCTGGGGAGACTCTGAGGTAATGGAGATTAAGCTTCCCAGCTGGGGCGGACAAAAGGTGGGCACTCACCAGGCAAGCATCCCTCTCCCCTTCCAGGTAGCCAGCACACAACATGTCCTCAGTGACGGCTTCCTGACCCGCTCCCCGCCAGTACAAGCTTTTGCAGAGTTTGGAGTCGATGATGGGCACCTTCAGCTTCTGAAGGGTCTGGGGGTGGGGCAGGGGCACTAGGAGCAAAAGAGAGAGTCAGGCCCTGTGTGAACATCTAGTCCCCTCCATTCACCCAGCAGCATTTCTCAAAGGTGAGTGGATCTGCTCTTCAAAACTCTAACCCCAGGCTCTCTGCCTCTTGAACTCAAACATGGATGCGTAGCCCTAGATTCTGTCTTCAGTCAGCTCCCTGATGCCCACAGAGGGCTACACAACAGGATGGTGTTTCTGGACTTCCTGCAAGGGCAGTGTGTTTGGTATCCCCTAGGTTCTGAATTGCATCCGCCACACACCCTCCCTGGGGTTAGTCTGAGGACCCCAAGAAAAGGCAGCGCCTGCGGAGTTCCAGCACCTGCCTACCCCTGCGCAATTCTTCTCCACCCAAGTTCATCCCGTTCCTTCCCTGTTGTCAATACCCAGTCTCTCCTTCAAACTCTGTCTTCTAAGTCTCGACTGGGTTGTCTTCCACAGATGACTTCTGTTTGTCTGGGCTTACCCCAGGCTCTGTCTGTCTGTCCCAGGATCTGTCTGTCTGTCTATCCCAGGCTGTCTGTCCCAGTTTCTGTCTGTCTGTCTGTCTGTCTGACTGACTGTCTGTCTGTCTGTCCCAGGCTCTGTCTGTCTATCTGGCTACCACCTGCCTTCCTCTTGCTTCTCTTCTACCTCTGTATTTCATCTGGTTTGTGATTGTAGATGATATTTCCCAAACCTCCAGACTTGGTTTGAAAATTGGGCTTTTTAGTAATAGACTACCTTTCCTCCTGGGAATTTTGCTTGCTATTCACAGATGCTGCCACCAGGGGTGACCATTCCCACGTGTGCTGGCTATATTTTCATCTGTCAGCCTGCCCTTCACGTCTACCCATTCATTCTTGTGTCAAAAGCTTTGCAAATGCCTCTCTGTCTTTCTCTGTCTCTGTCTCTCTTTGGTCTCTCTCTGTGTTTCTCTCTCTCTCTCTCTCTCTCTCTCTCTCTCTCTCTCTCTCTCTCTCCCAGGTCTTTCTGTGTAATCCTGACTGTACTGGGGACTCTTACAGACTAGGCTCTAACTCACAGAGTTCTGCCTGCATCTACTCACTGAGTGCTGCGACAGAGTGCTGTGACTAAAGATGTGTGCCACCATACCTGGCTTTTCCTTCCTTCCTTCCTTCCTTCCTTCCTTCCTTCCTTCCTTCCTTCCCTCCCTCCCTCCCTCCCTCCCTCCCTCCCTCCCTCCTTTTATTCCTTATCTTTTTCCTTACTGCAAGTCTCTATTGCTGCTTTAAAATTCGGTCAAAGACTCAACCAGACATGACCTAAAAATTGGCAGTTGACTTCTTGTGAGTTCACGTCTCCAGTCTTCAGATTGTCTTTTCCTGTCTCTATAATGCACATGTGGTCTCCACCCTCTCCTATCCCTGGAATCTGTATCTGAGTGCCATCTTCCCTCTGTCCCCAGCTATCCTGGACCTTTCTGGAGTTAAAGGAGAACCGCACCTCCATCCTGGATGCTTCCCCAGCCAGCAATCCAGCAGTCGGTGTTGGGAGGGAGATGGACAGAGGAGTCGGGTAGGCAGATGGGCAGGATCCTCTCAGAGAACTGGATGGGGTGCTCTAGGCGCACCAGGGCAATGTCTGCATGGGTTCCCTCCTTCCGAGAATACCTGGGGTGGGGCAGCACCCAAGCAATGCCTACTTTCTGGGATCTTGGGCCTGGATCCCCTAGCTTCCAGGCCCCCAACAATACTGAGAACAGAGATGGCTTGTCCATATTGCTGGAAGGAGAGAGAACGAGATGTCAGAGAGGGAGAGTCCCTGGTACAATGGTATCAAGATCCTTGAATAGAGGCCTAGACAGCCCAGAGGCTGAGGCAGAAAGCCTGGGTCCTGGAGAGTCAAAAGCAAGCCTGATTCCACATACCTCCTAAAGCAGTGTGCGGCTGTGACCACCCAGCGGTTGGTGAGCAAGGAGCCTGCGCAGTGGTGGGAACCATTCTTGAGGATGCTTACAATCCAAGGCCACTGGGCATCCGTGCTGTCCTCACCTCCCACAACCCGGTTCAGCTGCTGAGGCTTCCCACAGTCTGGGGACACTGGCACAAGGGATGGCATCTTCTGTCATCTCAGTAGACACGATTGTCTTCTGACTTGCCTGTCAACTGCCCCCAAGCCCTGCAAAGCCTCAGACCTGTGCCCAGCCCAGCATATGCCTAGCACAGTCTACTGCTGCAGTGTGAGTGCCTGCCTGTCCTGTCCCTGTCCCCTTTAGTTATCAGGGACTGGCCCTTTTCTTCTTCTCTCCTTTATCTGCCCTTCCCTCCCACTCCCCTTAACCTTGGTTTTTTTTTTTTTTTTTTTTTTTTTTTTAGTTCTGTTGGCCTCTTACCCTTCTGTCCTCCCAGCCTTCCCTCCTCTAGATTCATCACCTTCCTAAGCCCCTCCCCAGCTCTTCTTGTCTGTATCTATCCCTTCTGCTTCGATCGCATGCTCCCCTTTGACTGGGGTCCCTACACTGACCTACCCTATAGAGTCAGATACAAAGACTGTCCACAACACAGATCCACCCCCACCCACCTGCTCACGCTCACCTCGGATGTTGGCAGCACTGACGGTAGCTGAAAGCAAGAGAGTAAAGAAGGTCAGGCCTGGTGGTGAGGAGCCCTGTGCCCCATGCCTGGGGAATCCCCCACCTTCCTGAACAGACTCATCCTAGGCCCTCCAGCACTGTTCGCTGCCTCACCACCTGACACACACACACACCCACCACAGGTACCTCCGCATCCTGTTTGGGACAACCATCTTCAGACCCCTACCTCCCAGGCCACCAGTTTTTGTCCCATCATCCTAAGAGAGGAGCTTGGACACACACACACACACACACACACACTCGCACCCAGGTTTTCTTCCCTAACTCCCATGAAAGCCTGGTCAGTTGTCCTACTATTCAAAAACTGAAGGAGACCCAAGATGGAAAGCATGGAGAGGGGAACAGGAGATGGAGGACACAGGGAAGTGGCGCTGACAGGTATGATGACCCACACGGATGAGAGAGGAGCTCCTGAGCAGGCACTGAGGCCAGAGGACTGACATGCACTGAATCCTCATAGCTGCTAGGGAAACCGAGGCATGGGGCATGGAGTCAGACCACATGCCAGAGGAAGGGGAACGGAGACAGAGCCATGGGGAGATGAAAGACAGTGGAAAGAAGAGAGCAAACTCAAGGGAAGGAGCTGAGCTGCCAAAGAGGAGGTGACTGTGGAAGGAGAAGCAGCAGGCCTTTGGAGCTCACCTGTGGAAGTCAGCAGCACCAGAAAGATTAAGATCCTGAACTGGTCCCCACCCAGTTCTGGGGGAGGTCTGGAAATCACCATTGCTGGTAGGGGTGGACACCCAGCCAGGGTGCTGGCTGGCTCACAGGACCTAAGGGCTGTGTTGGTTGAGACTGACAGGACGGGTGGCTGTAGTGTGTAGGGTTCCCTACAGGTTGCCCCAGGTTTTATCCTGTGAGGAGGAATGCTGTTGGACCAGTCTCCCAGGTGGCTGAGACTAGGCCACCCAGACTGTGGGTCAAGGAGGAGGCAGGGCTGCCAGAAGGAAACAACCGGTTACTAGGGTCTAGGGGGTGCCACCAGGAGACTGGATGGGGGGCCTCTGGCTCAGATGTGTGCCCAGGGTGGACCCTGCAGAGGGGTAGGCAGAGACTTGTTGACTGTCTAGGGCATGGCTTTAACACTGACTGCCAGGTAAGCAGAGAAAGAGCCCTGTCACTTGCAGAGTGTTTGGGGTAGGAAGTGACTCAGGCTGGAATGGCCTTTGGCTGGGGTTGCCAGGGGACCTTGTTCCTTAACGGCCCATGTCCAGGGCCCTGGTTGCTTCTGTGACTCAAGCCAGACACTTGGGGCCCTGGAATCCCGTTAGCCCACTTCCCCGAAAGCTGTGACTCAGGCCCCAAAGGGACGGGCATGATGGCCTCTTGGCCATTTGGCCAAGCTGTCCCTGGCACTTCCTCTCAGTTGTCACTGTAGGTGAACCTCAGGTGACTCATTTCTCACCTGAACTCCAGGGAGCAGGCCAATCCCAAAGCAGGAGCCACAACCTATGCACCCCCTCAACACACTTGGGAAGAACTAACCCTGTGGTCACGTTCACCCCACGGGACCCCCCACAAAGGGCCAGGGAGCTGGGCTTTGGGAAGCTGGGATGCTGTAGGCTGGTGTGGATTGTCCTTGACTCGGTGTCCTATATTCGTGATAGCCTCACCTCAAGCAGGAAGCATCGATTGACATCGTCCCAAATGTGTCCCTCTCCCCAGGGTTAGTTTCTGGGATCAGACCTGGCTGTGGTGGAAACAGGGCTCAGTAAAAACTGCAGTCTGAGGTGCTGCACCCCACTTTGTGCCCTCATCACCCAAGAAACCCTGGCTGGTTCAGAGAGGTCAGTAGAGCAGGCCCCCAGCAGAAATCAGGTGCCTGACCCTCCTCAGAGTGGTCCCCAAAGAAAAGGCCACGGATAAGTGTGGGAACAGACACAGTAACACTGAACCCAGGGAAAGAAAAAGAGGTGGTCTCTTTCCACCTCTGGGCCAGCCACAGCTCTCTTGGGATTTTCATGACCTTGGTCTCCAAGCTGCCCAGAGCTGGCCCTGCAGGTCCCTGTGTCACCCACCTCAACTGTTTGGGATTAAGGTGGCATTAGACCCAGTTAGCACATGGATCCCCCATCTCTGGCAAGGTGACATCTGCCTAACCTTGCCTGGGTACTGTGAGCTGCAGATAAGCTGAGGTGTATTCTATGGGTCGCTGTCTGGAGAAGGAGGCAGGTCAGGGTTACCTGCAGGCAAGATGAGACAGAGAGACCCTGCCCCACCCCACACCAAACATGCAAAATGTGTGGCCTCAGGAACCCCAGCGGTGCATTCTTCCCCTCCTGTGATTGTGGGTGTCACTACAGAAGCAGCCAAGATGAGGCCACCTTCCCCAGACATCCCCAAGGCTATAGAGCAAATGTGGGGGCAATACTCACTTAATCACATGTGCCCCTCAGGGCCATTTCTGCACCCTCAGCTGCTCCCACACTACTGTAACCCACTCCCTGTGACAAGGAGGGCTGTGGCCACCTCAACTCATTCCACAAACATTTCTTGGGCCCCTGCTGTTTGGCAAGCCCTGAGCTAGGGTCACTGGGACACCCAGCGAGGAATGAGGCTCCGGTCCTTCACACTACTTAGGAAGCTCACATCTCCCAGGGGTGGGAGCTGAGTAATAGCATTGAGGTACTTCAGAGGTGAGCAGAAGCCTGGGCCTGGACGTGCACTGTGAATGCTGGAGGGGAGGGGCGTCTCCCTCAGACACCCGCAGATCCAAGCCTGCTGCCTGCTGCACACTGGGTTTCAGTAGATGCTTGTCAAATGAATTCATGATTGTAGAAAATGCAGGGTTGGGGACCAATAGCTGCAGCATCCTGCCTCTACATTTCCTCTGCCCCTCCCAGTTTCCTGACTCATTGTCCTGGGGACCTAAGAGGCAGGCACAGCCCCAGTATGCTGCCTTCTTGGAGATGGGTGACCAAGAAGAAGCCCCGAGCAGAAGAGCTCTGTGGGAGTCAGAGGACGCCCAAAAAGCTAGATGGAGATTTCCTAGTACAGGCTCTGAAAGAGATAATCCCCTCCCCGGGACCACTGGATACTGCCCAGTTCCTAGGACGTGAAGAGTCAGTTCTCAAAGTCCCTGGCATGATTCAACATTCAGCAAAATATTTACTGAGTGCCTACCATGTGCCAGACTCACACCCAGCATCCCAGCTGAGCATCTTCATGCTATGCAAGAGATGGATGAGGTGCCCAGCCCTGCCACCCACACCACGGGTCCCTGCCAGGCTGCTGGGGGAAACCAGCCAATTCACACTGAGGTGTTGATGGCTGATAGGGCTGCCGGAGCATTAGCATGCTAGGAACAGCTGGAGCTAGCAATGCAGAAGCCAAAAAAAATGGTGACTCACCCTCCCTGGCGATTCAGATGTAGGCCCCGGGAGTCAGGGGACATACGTTGAACAAGGTTATCCATTCTTATCCAACCAAAGGCTAGAGGGCACCGCCTACTCCTCTGGACCTTGTACAAAGTCCAGGAGTCATCCATGAAGGAAATACGACACAATCAGTTAAGTCAGTCATCAGCCATTACTGAACATGGGGGGAAGGTCAGGAGGGGGAGGGTCAGGAGGGTTGGGGACGTTGGAGGGATCTGGGAGGTTGAGGGTGTGGAAGGAGGGCACAAACCAAACCAATACCTGCTCTGATGGCTGAAATGGAATTGGAAAATAAGTGAATTGACCAGGGGTGGTGTCTCATGTCTTCGATCCCAGCACCCAGGAGGCTAAAACCAGAACATTTCTGCACCTTTGAAGACAGCCTAGGTTACATAGTGACTTCTAGACAAGCCTGGGCTACAACATGAGAGACAATCTCCCAAAAAAGGGCTGGTTGGTGGAGATATGGCTCCATTAGCAGAATGTTTATACTGCACAAAGCCCTGCTTCATCCCCAGCACCACATGAAACTGGGCATGAAGTCACACACCTGTAATCCAGCACCTGGGAGGTGAGGGCAGGAGGGTCAGAGACTGGGGTAAGCCTTGAGTGAATTCAAGGTGAATTCAAGGCCCATCCTGGGCTACATGTGACCCTGACTCAAAAACAAAACAAAAAACCAAAAACACAAAACAAAGCAATTTGTTCTAGTGGGTGTCCGGCATCTCCCCAGTTGATTTAAGCTTTGTTGTACCCCCAACCCGGGCCTCAGTTCATCCACCTGTGACAAGAACCAGTCAGTAGCCTCACGGCCTCACAAAAAAAAAAAAAAGGCGATAGGGCTAGAAAGGGCTGCCAGCCTTAGTCTTCATTGGCTGAACTTGAAATCACCCAGGAGATACCCCTTGGGTAAGTCTGTGAAATGTTTCCAGAAAGTTTCACTGAGGGAAGAAACATCCTAAATATGGATGGCACCATCCCATCCCATGGGCTGGAGTCCTAGACTCTCCGGTTACGTGTTCATGGACATGATAAAATACTTTGACGTGAGCAAACTTGAAGGAGAAAGGGTTATTTTCTTTCACAATTCAAGGTATAATCCATCAAGGCAACAGGAGTGGGAGGTCACATGACACCCGCGATCTGGAAACAGGGGGATGGAATGTATGCCGGTGTTCCGCTAGCTCTCTCCAGTGTATACAGCCCAGGATCCCCTGACCAATGAACAGCCCTGTGCATGACCAAGATGGATTGTCCCACATCAGTTAGAATAATGAAGGTAATTCCCCCCAAACCTTGCTCAGAGGCCTGTCTCCCAAGTGATTGTACCCTGTCAGACTGACAACACAGACAGGATTGAAAGGGGGCAAGGGAAAATCCAGCTGAGGAACACTGTCCGTCTCTTCCTGCTTCCTGAACCATCCCTCACACCCAGCTGCCTCACTCTCACTGCTGTACCTTCCCCATCGTACGGACTGATTCTTCTCAAACCATGGGCCAAAATCAACCTCTTCCTTATGTCTACTTGTTGGGTTGTTACAAGAACTCCATTCTGGGGATATGTAAACAAATGTCTATTCCCCTCCCCTTTACAGGGTTCCAGTGACAAACCAAAGTACATTACTGTCCAAGTTATGGACCCAAGGAGTTTACTAGGTTTATGGATGAGGTGTTACGTTACAGAAGCACAGATGGCCTCAGAGCTGCCGCACTACTGGAAAACCTCACCGCTGAATGGCTGTTGACTAACCCGTGGCTGTGTGGATAGAACCTCACCTCCAGCTAACCTTCCCAGTCTGTGTACTCTAGCATCAAAGGCCACATGCTATTAACACAGAATTACATACAAATAGCTAGACAGTGCAGGAGGGAGCAGCTCGACTCTCAGCAGAGGGTCTAATGACCCTGTCCACCCCCTCCTTCTATAAGAGGACGTTAACAGCCATCAAGGCTGCTCTCAGGGTTTCTTGCAAATACTCATAGTGATGCTGATGAGGATGGCAGGCATCATCACTTCCATCACTTGGAAGCACGAGTATCTTGTCACAGGAATGAGAAAAGTAACTAAGGTAGAAAACTTGCACCAACGAGAGGGTTGTCACTGTGAGGAGTGCGACCATGTGGTCTGCAGGCCTTCGGACTGGTTTTTGAGAGGAATGGAGAAGACTTTGGTAAGCCTTAGAGTGCTGTGATCAATTTGATGGGCCACTCTGTTGAAAGTCAGGAAGACAGGACTGCCGAGAAAAATGTAGGCAGTAAAGCCTGGGCTCGTGGGGTTTCACAGGAAAGTACAACTCTATTCAGAACTGGACTATTGGCCATTTGTGTTCTCTTCTGGCTGAAAATGGCTGCCATTCTTCCCACGGCCTCAGTTGCAAAGCAGTGGACTCAGGTGTTTAGTAGAAAGTCAAGACATGGCATTCAAGCTGCAGCATGG